AAATCTAAAATAAATGTTAATAAATAAACAATTACATTATTTGGAACTGTTTTATTATCTTAGAGGTATGTAATTGTAAGATATGCATTTCATTTCAAGTTATCATACATGTGCAGTCAAGATCAGAATTTTAAAGAGAGTCTTTTGGAAGTGTATCAGTAGTTATGATTTATTAGTATGAAATATATTTAAAGATCCACTCTAGTCAACAAGGTATTTTATTCAGTAAACTGATAATATCAAAATAACTTTGATGGTATGTACCAGTCTATTTATATACTTTGCTATAATTCATGCTTTCTACATTTTCCCCCATAATTTTATATTATTAATTTTAATATATTTCCCCAATTATATTACAGTTTAGTGATGAAAAACTGTGTATATTAAAAAATGAGCAAATAAAAAAAAAATAGAGGTTCATATTGACAAAATACTGCTTAGTCCAAAGAACTGGCTATCTACAGTATGTCCACAGTCAGCGCAGTATGGTGTCCGTTTATGAACCAGCGGTAAATGATCGCTGCTCAGTTCTCCGGCATTCTCGGAGAACACAGTTCTCCTGTTAATGCCGTTTATGAAGCATATGTAGATCAGTTCTCCAAACGAAGGGAGAATGGTCTACAAACGCTGGAAAACGGCTGATTTTACTATAATCTCGCGAGATTACAGTAAAAGATCAGTTTACTAAGCAGAGGTAAATTATCTCTGCTTAGTTTGCGGTCCCTCCGATTCTCCAGCTCTGGGCTGAAGAATCTGGAGGGAGAACACAGATCTCCAGTGAAGGGCTGAACAAGTTCTCCTGGGTGTCATAAACTGTGAATGACCAGAGAATAGCTGAGATCTGTTGAATCGCAGCTATTCTGTGTGTCATAAACGGACACCTAAATGTTAATAGTGTTTGTAGGGAGCTCTGCAATGGTATGACCTCCAGGAGAAAAGGATCTTGGGCATCCATTGGAGGGAAGGGAGACCAGATGACATGGGAGCACACTGTGCACTGAGAGTGGAAGCAGACTCTAGTAAAGTAAACAGCAAAGTAAGTGCAGTATGCAGTCGTTTATTGAATTGTAAAAGGTTAATAGCACTTACAAGATAGCAGTCAGATAAAAGCTCATCAAGTATAATGCCAGGGGGACACAGTGAGCTGACCAATGGTAGTGAGTGTGGTGGAACGCACGGGCAAGATGGCCACTGTACTTCCAGGAGAGGCGTGGAACGCACACGCCGGACGTCACGTCAAGGGGACAGTAACACATTTTGGAGCATGTGCAGACACTCCTTCCTCAGATCTCATAACTGATGAGCTTTTATCCGTCTTTTATCCGTCTGCCATCTTGTAAGTGCTTTTAAACCTTTTACAATTCAATAAACTGCTGCATACTGCACTTAGAGGCGCCTTCCTTGCTATTTGCAGTGAATTATGCATTTCTTGTGAAATATTTTTGTTTTGAATCAATAAGTTGCCATTTTAGTCCTAGGAGCTGACAAACTCTGCATTAAAAGATGCATTTTGTGAGGACAAAATGGAGATTTGTACAGACAAGGTTTTCTTTAAATATCTGTGTATTCAGTTCCACCACGCTTTCAGATTTTTACTATCAGCGAAAAACCAGGGAGCGTTTTCATCCACACAAACATTGGCAGTAGTGGTCCTTCCTCTTGGTGTTATCACCTATCTGGTTACCGAGGTCTTGGTCTGTGCAGGCCCTTTGGATGAGAACAACCCTGATACTCTGGAGTTTTGAAGCTGGACAATTGTATGTGTTCCAGGAGTTGTACACAATACAGTCTGTTTAATGTTGTCGTTCCAGTGTATCTAAAGCTATTTTTGTTAATTTTGCAAAATGTTTGGGATTTTTTAATTTCTTGGGGGGGAACATTTTCCTTTACCTCCTGTCCTTAAAATGGTATTAGGTCCAAAACCAAAAATGTTATATATTGCAGCTTACCAAATATTGAATGTGGTAGTTGCATTGATTTTCTCTTGTAGGCTTTTTTCTGTCTGTTTTCACCTGGTGACAGACCTCTTGTATTAGAGTGCCCTCACTCTGTATGAAGGAGCACAGAGACACCTTCGGACAACAGTATTGTTAGTCTGGGGAGAGCTAAGTGTAAAGTTGGGTATATATGGGGAGGTTTTTTTTTTTTCATTCAACAGACAGAACAAAAACAGAGATGGCTATCATTGGTTGCATGCACAGATTGAATGCTGGTTTTCCGTCAATACCATTCAATTCTGTTGTTAGTTGTTAGACTTGCTTCTGTTGAACAGACAACAGTACACACAGAGTGCAATTCATCCTGTTCTTGTTGAACCAACTGATTTTCAGTCTATGTATACCATCCTTTAGATGCACTAGCAGATTTGAATACACTGCAATTAACCTCCAAATTCCCGAGTTAGCTTTAACATTTCAGTACCAAAAGCGGTAACCCCGAGCTACACTCGGGATACCATGCGGCGCTGCTCCGGCATGTTTCTTTACTTACCTTACCTGCGCTCCCACGATGTGTCCCCTGCAGCGTCCCCGGCCATCTCCTCCGGCCGATGCCGGCATCCGGCTTCTGGTCTGTCCCTGTGACGTCGGGACGTAGCGCCCCGGCGGCGGTCAGTTTAAAAAATGGCATTTTTTTTTTTTTTCATTTTACACAGTAACATTGGCAACCTATTTCACATACATAGCCCTGCCTGCATTTTGTCTGAAAATGGAAACTGAGAAATGTCCAAAGTCCAAAAAAGTGTCCCTTTAGGTCAAAAGCGGTTTAGATCAGCTAGAGAATAGCGATAGTAAATCAGAACCACTTACAGAATTTGTGATAATGATTCGTGGGGGAAATTCCATCAGAAACTGAAAATGATTTTGACTGTAAGCTACTATTTCACATTTCAGTGTTTTTTGGTTTGATTATATTATTGAATTAAATTTTTTATTATTTTTTTTATTATTTTTATGATTATTTATTAAATTATAATTTAATGATTTTGTGTTTCAAATTTTATCCTACCGGGATGTTTATAGACTCTTGTTCGGACAGTCAGTGAGTTTTTCCTAAAAATTCTTCTACAAAAAAAAAATACATATTTCCATTGGTACCGCTTTCAGACATTACCGCCAGGGAGGTTAAAGCAAACTTATTTATTTATTTATTTTTTTTTGGATAAAGGTTTCATAAATAAACAACCAATGGTCATTGTAAGCACTCCCTGTCAGTGTTAAATGGTTTGTCTCAACACTCTTAAAAACTGGCACATCTGCATCAGCAGGTGAAAATAAAGGAAAGAAAGACTAAAAAAAGAAAATTAATGTAACCACCACATCTAAGAATTGGTAATCTACAATATAATAAATGTTTGTTACAAACTTTAAGACACATCAGGAAGTTGGATCTTCTAAAGCTTTTTTTGGACATTTGTTGGATCCAACCCCCTAGAATCACACTCTTTACGTATATTAAAGTGACATTATTCTTTCCATACATGTATAAAAATATTGGGGAGAAAGTGAACCAAATAAACTAGCTAGGAAACAATTTTTTTAGCCATTGTGTGATATCTTTAAACGAATATGTAATGGCATAAACATTAATGAACAAGACCTGGAATTTGTCCAGTTATTGCTATTGTTGAATATTTCTAAGAATATGCAGTAGTTTGGAAAATGTAGATAATTTTTTGGTTTAATCCAGAGAAACATTGGTAGGATGATTGGCTTGTGATCAAATCGCCCAAGCCTGTGTAGAAATATCTAGCTATTGCTGTAAGGATACATACAGTATGTCAGACATTTTCCTTGTTAAAGTGGTTGTAAAGGCTGAAGGTCTTTACCTTCATGCATTCTATGCATGAAGGAAAAAATCCATCTCTGTGCAGCAGTGTCCCCAGCCTCCTCAATACTTACCTGAGCCTCATTGCGATCCAGTGATGTGAATGATAGGTATGGCTATCCTGTGTCTCTGCCTTCTCATTGGCTGAGAAGGCAAGCTGTCAATCACAGCCAGTCAGCCAATGAGGAGAGAGAGGGTGCGGGGCCAAGCCGTGGCTTCATATGTGAATGGACACGCGGAGCAGTGGGTGCCCCCATAGCAAGCTGCTTGCTGTGGGGGCACCCGACAGGAAGGAGGTGCCAAGAAAGCCTGCAGGGGGGACCCAAGAAGAGGAGGATCTGGGCTGCGCTGTGCAAAACCACTGCACACAGCACACAGCAGGTAAGTATAGACTTGTTTGTTATTTAAATTAAAAAAAAGAAACGTTAGAATCACTTTAAATACTAAAGTGAAAGTAGTTAGAAATCAGAATACAAATTGTATTCCCAATGCCACACAGTTTAAAGGTGTCAAATATCTGTTGCCTGATCTGAATAATTAGGGTTGGCTTGGGAAAGGTTTGTATGCATGAAGGTCCTCCCAATGATTGTGTAGCTGGGTGATAAATTGATCATCCAGGATACATTTTCCTGGCTGATCAGTATTGTTTTACCCTTTGGCAGGCTGATGCCTTCAGTTATACCCCCCAATTTAAAAAATACAGGTATACATTTAAAAAAAAAAAATAAAAAAAGAATATGTTCTTTTATCCATTGCTAGTGTAGTATTATACAAGCTACATTTTGAGAAATCCAGAGTTTACTAATGTTGGTAGAGCACAATGTGGTATAATCAGACGTACATGGTAACTAATTGAGGCAAACATAGCATAACATAAGAGACCACAATAGTGCGGATAATCATTTATAAGAGAATACATGGTTTATCAGTGGAAGATGCATTATTGTAAGCTATTATAGATTGTTGTATGGTTACGCTTGTACAAGTGTACCCAATGCCAGTGCCATTTGTGTATAATTGCCCTTCCCAACAGCCATCACTAATTCATGAAATGGGTTTGTAATCCAAATGCACTTTTAATACATTTATTTTATAGTTTGGAAATAACAATACTGCCAAGTAAGTCTGCATGTTTAAGAAAAAATTCACATGTCTTTTTTTTTCCATAACAGGGATTACCAGGGATAGTAGGAAACCCAGGAGTGCAGGTAATATTTGGAGACCAAATAATAATTTTAGTCATTATCTTAACAGCATCACCATTGGATTTCACGATTTACAAAAGCTGACAGAAATCAATGGTCCAATATTGAAGTTTGTGCCATAACTCAAACCCAAATTCTGGAAAGTGTTTGTCTGTGTGCGTGTGTGTGTGTCTGTGATCACTGAATCAATTACTAGTTGGGTGTCATGTACTTAAAGACACCCAGTCACCAGACCATTCATTTCATCAAGAACCTTCTGTTATGATTATATGTTCATTTAAGTGTTTTAAGCATGTTATTTACCTATAAACCTTTTCTTGAATAAGACTGCTTGGATAAAACTGCTTCTGGGTGCCACTATCTTTGATGTAGTATCAGCACAAACCCCATCCTTCAGCAGCTACATGAAAAATGATGTAGGGAAGTGAGGGGCAGAGGAGCTGGGCCAGCAAAGACTGTAATTAGACAGTACTAAAAGAGGATAGGACTATGACAAGCAAGGAGAAAAGGGACTGTATTAGGAAATAAACTCTTCCTAAAATATCACATTTGCTGGCAAGTTCACAGGCACATTGTAAGTAAAAAAAAAAAAAATATTTAGAGAAAGCAAACAAGTTAAAATACTTAATTTGTGCTTTTACCAGCAATTTTGGTGACAGGGTCAAGTCAAGTCAAGTTTGGTCAAGTGACAGGGGGCTCCATTCACAAAAGGAACATGCATGCATTATTTAGGTGTATGGACATTTTCCCTAAATATTGCATGCAATCTTGAAAACTGTCAATTCACATATCGCTTTGTGGTATTTACTTCAAAACGGTCGGTAAATACCGCATGAAAAGGCATTAACCGCATGCCCCCCAGCCACTGTACATATACGGTGGCAGGGCGGCACTCACAGGCAAAACCACGTTTTAAGACGTGTGTTTTGTAAACAAATAGGGGGCGCGCGAGGCGCGCCGCCGCCCTATTTGTCCTGCGGATCACCGCCGCAGATGTCAGTCGCCGGGTCACAGCCGCTCCTTAGCGGCTATGTCCCGGCGATCGGCGGCAATCAGTGACAGAGAGCACAGCTGCAGTAGCTGTGCTGTCTGTCGCTTCCTTCTCAGCTCGAGGATGAGCTGATCGAGAAAGAACAGTTTCTCTTTCTCGATCAGCCTTGTCCCACCCAGTACACACCCCCGCCCCCTAGTAAAACACTCCCCTCACTCAGATAACCCTTCCCTACAAAATAAAGTTAACCCCTTCCTCCCCATTGACATTTGTACAGTGTCAGTTTTTTTTTTTGTACTGATCACTGTATTAGTGTTTTTGGGGATGTCAGTGACCCCAAGTCAGTACCCCCCAATGTCAAAATGTCCACCGCAGTCCCGCAGTCCCACCATAAGTCTCTGGTCGCTGCCATAAGTCCCTGATCGCCGCCATTATTAGTATAAAAAAAACCCTAAAAATCCCAGTATCTTTCCTGCCATTTGTAAACGCTATAACTTTCACATAAACCAATTCATTTACACGTATTGGGTTTTTTTTTAGCAAAGATGTCGCAGAATGCATTTTGGCAGAAATTTATGACTAAATTTGATTTTTGCATTTTTTTTTTACTGGACATGTTTTATAGCAAAAAGTCCAAAATATTGTTTTTTTTCCCTCAAAATTGTCAGCCTTTTTTTTTTAGCGCAAAAAAAAAAACCGCACAGGTGATCAAATACCACCAAAAGAAAGCTCAATTTGTGGGAAAAAAGGATGTAAATTTAATTTATGTACCATATTGCATGACCGCGCAATTGTCCGTTAAACTAGCGCAGTGCTGGATAGCAAAAAAATGGCGTAAATTGCAGTATTTTTACCATAGTTTGTAGACGCTATAACTGCCACAAAAAGCAATCAATATACACTTATTGGGATTTTTTTTTACCAAAAACATGTAACAGAATATATATTGGCCTAAATTTATAACCAACTTTGAGTTTACTATATATTTTTTATAGCTGAAAATAAAAAATATTGTTTTTCTTCAAAATTTTTGGCATTTTTCTGTTTATAGCGTGAAAAAATAAAAAGCGCACAGGTGATCAAATTACACCGAAAGAAAGCTTTATTTGTGTGAAAAAAAGGACGTAAATTTCATTTGGGTGCAGTATTGCATGACCGCGCAATTATCAGTTGAATTAGTGCAGCGCCGAGTAGCAAAAAGAGGCCTGGTCATTAAGGGGGGTAAATCCTCTGGAGCTCAAGTGGTTAAAGTCAATTCACAGTAGGAAATAAATAATTAAATGCATGCAGTAATTAGGTAGTGGTCTAGGCATGCTGTATTTAAGAAATGTAAAAATACAATAGGTAATGTTGAGTAGTTTATTCCTTTATTGGATCAGGTCTCTCAACAATAATGCATAGAAACCTAAATATGGAAAACATTGGGGTTGATTTCCTTAAAGAATAACTAAAGAATTTTTTTTTTTACTTTTGGATAGAGTGGAGGTGGATTAGAGCACCTGTCAGGTTTTTATTGCTGTCTGTGTCCCTAATAAGGAGATTCACCCTCTATATTACTATTATAATTGAAAATGAAAGTAAAAGAAATATCAAATTTTTGGTTGTCCCCAGAAAAGTAATAAAGGGGAAATCTTCCAATGAGGACACAGATGGCAAAAAAACCTCAAAACGGACAGGTGTTATAAGCCTTCCTTATTCTATCCAAAATGAGAAAAATGTTGCCTATAGTTCTACTTTAAGGCAAATAGACTGTGCAACTTGCATGCTGCTCCAGAGCTACATAGTACATGAGGTAAAGCTTCACTAAAAAAAAAGAATACACAATCACATGCAAGGTAAAAAAAACAGCATTTTTGCTTCCAGATGATTGGATGATCAAAGTCAGCAGAGCTCCCCTCATTTTCTGTACATAAATATCACAATGATCTAATCCCTTGTTAGAACATATGTCATATGCAATGGAGATACTTTACATTTTCATAATTATTTGTAGATGCAGTGCTCAGCATAAATGAGTACACCACAACAGATTTGTCAGAAAACCTTTCCTTTCCTTTCAGAATCAATATTTTCTATGGGATGCTATACTACAAAGTTCTCCCACAAATGTGGGCAATTGATTGCAAACAAGATTTGTTAATTTTCACAAACAAAAAAGTATTTTTCCTAACAAATTCATTCAAGACCATGTTGCAAAAATGATTACACCCCAATGAAAGTCTTAGGAGCAAAGCTAAATTTTAGACAACAATGGTGTCCTTTTATGACACAGAGAATAGCTGCGATTCAACGGATCTCAGCTATTCTCTGGTCATTCACAGTTTATAACACTCAGGAGATCATGTCAGCTCTTCTCTGGAGATCTGTATTCTCCCTACAGATTCTCCAGCCCAGAGCTGGAGAATCAGAGGACCGACCGCAGAGATAAAAACTAAGCAGAGATAATTTACCTCTGCTTAGTAAACTGATCTTTTACTATAATCTCGAGAGATTATAGTAAAATGAGCCGTTTTTCAGAGTTTGTAGACCGTTATAAAAGTGTGTTACTTTTGGAGACCGTTCTCCCTTCCTTTCGAATTTTAGCAAGAACTGCTTCATAAACTGCATTCACAGGAGAACTGTGTTCTCCGAGAATGCCGGAGAACTGAGCAGCGATCTATTACCGCTGGTTCACAAACGGACACCAAAATCCTAAGTAACAAGAATTCAACTGCAGGTGAGTCTAATTATTAATTATTCAACAGGTGTCCAGCAGACAGTTGATTATAAAAGTGTGTTACTTACCAAAGAGTATTATTTCTCTTTCCCATTTTCCCATTTCATGCTGTCAGCAATGGCACCACATGGAAGAGAATTGTCACAATGCCTGAGAAAGAAAATCTTCTTCTTCTTCTTTTCTTTTTACACAATAATGAGGTGAAGGCTACAAGAAGATCAGCAAAGCTTTACTTATCAGTCAGCACTAAATACTGTAGCAAAAGTGATACAAAAATATATCAAAGATGGAATAAACTGCAACCATTTTATAGATATGTCCAAGCCGTCTGCACAAGTTAATACCTTGACAGGAGCATCTTCTTATGAGAAGAGTTGAAGAAAATCGTCATGCAAGTTCAATGCAGTTAGCTATAGAAGTATAAAGCCAAACTGGGATGACTGTTTCCCGTGACACAATATGGCATACACTGCAAAGGAATGGCGTTCATGGGTGTCGTCCACGAAGGAAGCCTCTCCTAAAGCCCATGCACAAAAAAGCCTGCCTATAATATATGCCTATAAGCCTGCCTATCTCATGCTGAAAAAGAAGATGACTACTGAGACTCTGTACTCTGGAGTGATGAGACCAAGATAAATGTTTTTGGAACTGATGGCTTCAGAACTGTATGGTGTTACAAAGGTGAGGAGTACAAAGAATAATGCATGGTGCCTACAGTAAAACATGGTGGTGGTAGTGTCCTTCTGTGGGGCTGCATGAGTACTGCTGGTGTTGGGGACCTGCATTTGATTGATGGTATCGTGAATTCACAGATGTACTGCTCTATATTGAAAGAAAAGATGCTACCATCACTCCATGCCCTTGGTCGCCATGCACTTTTCAAACATAACAATGATCCAAAACGCACATCTAAGGCCACTGTTGCATTTCTGAAAAAGAACAGGGTGACAGTGATTCAGTAGCCAAGTATGTCTCCTGATCTGAACCTAATTGAACACCTATGGGGAATTCTGAAGAGACAAGTTGAGCATCACTCTCCACCCTGCATCCAGGCTCTCTTGTTGTTTTCGAAGAATGGAAAACGATAGATGTTACAATATGTCACCAGCTTGTTCACCAGCTTGTTCATTCCATGCCTAGAAGACTTGATGCTAGATGTAGTAGGTTTTGTTGTGGGGTGTATTCATTTTTGCATCAACCAATTTGACTAAAATTGAAGATTTTGTAATCTAAGTTGTATTATTAACTTTACTGTCATGTAAAGTTAATAATACAACTTAGAAGCTAAACAAATGTTCTTTAAAACTCAGTTTTGTCGAAATTTTTGAAGCTGTTCTTGTGTTCATTGAGATATTCATTAAAATCTTACTTTTCAAAAGGGGTGTACTCATTTATGCTGAA